GCAAAACAAACATGGCCCTGTTTAGTAGAATGAAAGCTAAGAAGCAAACGCATATAAATCGTGTAGGCATGATGAAATCAGCCTCTCCTCTCATAACACTCAGTGGCCTAGACCCCGCGTCACTGGCATGGTGTGGAATGTAACCAGAACAGGGGAGACCAAAACTGCATAATTCTGGCATGCTGCTATCAATTTTTATGGAATTTTTAATTTTTGCCGATAGCTTCGCGATGGAAAACCACAGACAGGGGATTTAATTTTCATTTTTAAAACGTGATCTTTTACATATATGTAGAAAATTCTCTTGTCTTTCAGATTCTTTTTAGTTCATATTTCTATGTTGCATAGAACGGAAAATATGTATTTTTTTCTCAAGGTTTGCAAAGATCCTCAATAAAGGCGATTTAAATCCCGGCCATACAGGGGCTACCGGCAATTTAAAAGCCCGTCCGATAAAGGTTAAGCACAGTCCATGCTGCTTTTGCCTGCGTAGCCATAAAATCAAACATGGTAAGACTAAGATGTTCCTTGTTAGAGAATGAGACTGGAAAGGGAGTATTTCACAGTGTAGTACACAAAATTACCCATAGCATTCTTTGAAGTTTATTAAACTTACTTAAAAATGGGAATAAGGAAATGAAAACTAGTGAAAGTCACCCATATAAAAAAAAAACTAGTGAAACAGTTCATGGGTTCTGTATAAAATATATTTTATTCTAGATCACTATGGCTGAAAATCAGAGGAGCCCAAAAACTTTCAGTTAACATTATGACAACCTGTGTAAGATTTGAGGTCTACACAGCAGTGACTATGAAGAGAGCAGTCTTCTGGGATGTGGCACCATGCAGATATTGGGTTAACCTATGTTTTGCCTCCCTGAAGATGGAGGCAATACGTTCCTCCGAAATGTCAGTTAACACAATATCTACACAGCACATCCCAGAAGATTTCTCTCTTCATTATGACAACCTGTTCAACAACCTGGGCCCTCATTACTAGGTCGCAGACAGGCAGACATACATGCCCTCCATATAAGGAAAAGTAATCCTTGTAATAGGACATGAAGGCCCATATCATTATGAGACGTTCAGGCTCCCACATTTTCTAGACAATCTGCTCACAGTTGGTGTTGGCGTTATCAGCCTTGCACACCAGCTGCCCTTTACCCTGGGGAAGATTTCTGGTACTCATTTATGTTAGAGGATGAGTTGACCCTAGGGTCACAGTGCAGCTGGAAGGATTAGGTCAATTGAAAACTTAAATGACCTCATCTGGAATCAAACCACAACCATCCAGCTTGTAGCACAGTGTCTCAACCAACTATGCTACTGCATACCCCCATGTCCTCCATATAAGGTATTCCTTTTGTACACTGTAATGAATGTCTTAAAAAGTAGGGTGAAAGACAAGATGATGACCAGAATTACTAGGTTTTCAGACTCTGTCCATCGTCTGGTATTCTAGACTCTAGAAAATGCAATATTTCAGAAACAGATCCAGTTTCTGAAACGTTGTTTCCTAGTTTCTAGAATAACAGAATGGACAAAGTCCAAAAACCCAGTCATTATGAGCATTGTACACCATCGTCCAGACCCTTTAAAACCAAGATGATGACCAGTTGTGAAGAGACGCAGAGTTGCTTACCTTCTTCTGTGTCTGAGGAACTCTCTAACTCAGAGGCAGATGTGTGTTCAGGTAACTCCGACCTTCCAGTAGTTGAAGGAAGCCTAGGCGCTTGTGGTCGCTGCTTTCGAGCCGCATTCCAATAAAAGCAGTAGCAACAACGAAATCCTGAAAAGTGGACATGTAATTATGATGTATGACATAATGCTAATTATCACAAGTACAAAATCAGAGATGTAACATATCTAAAAACATGAACCAGTTTCTAAAATGTCTTTACAATCAATGATTCTAACATGAGGAGAGGGTTTATCATGCATAATGACACCCCCTTGTAGGGCTTGATTTACAAGCAGTGGATCTGAACATTAAACTGAGGAAAACATTAAATGGAGGTACTTTAACATTCAAGTTACTGATTTAGGATCACTGAAGTTGAACATTAAAATCAAGGAACATTAACTTGGGGTTCCAATGCATTGCATTTTTAGCATCATGAACTGCAAAACCTTAACAACAACAAATCCTCAAAGAAAAAAAAAGAGAGAGAGAGAGATGTACCTTAGAAATACACCAGCAACTGAGATACAGACATACAATATCTTATTTCAATGATATATTTGCTTCCAAGAGACCTGAATAAAACAAAAAGTGACTTTAACTCATTGAAAAGTTAGTTACATATTATTTCCAACTGCTTTATGCAATACAATTAGAGGTTTAAACTGTTATATACACTCTTGCTATGAAGATCATCATGATAACAGTGACACAAAAGCATGTATATATCATGATATGTATGTAGTGTCCGTCTTGTAGCGCACTCAATTTCACCTGTTATTTCACGACATGTTTCGGGACATAGTGCCATCATCAGGTGCTCCATTTATGCTGATCTGTTGCATTGCTTGCCATTATATGTCATTGTAAAATTATTAAAAAATATTTAAAAAATGGATAATCTTAAAAAGTTTTTAGTGTATATAAAAAAAGAATTTATTATAGTTGACGAACATTTTTTAAATAATTTTAAATAATTTTACAATGACATAATGGCAAGCAATGAAATAGATTAGCGTAAATGGAGCACCTGATGATGGCACTATGTTGCCGAAACATGTCGTGAAATAACAGGTGAAACTGAGTGCACTACAAGACGGACACTGCATACATATCATGGACGAAAATCAGTGCAACAGGACGCTAAAATATAACATTATGTATATATCATACATCCTCAGTTAAATTTATGATGTAAAGAAGGCCACCACCATTAAATTTAATGGAGATCTGATTAAAGGGTGGGATTTTTTTCATGCAGTAGGTAGACAGTGACAACTGACACTTTTCTTACCCTCATTTCAAATGTGAAGTGAACACAAATGAAGTTTATGGATCATTTAATGCCCAAATGTTCATCTCAACATTTTTGGCTGTCCCTCCATCTTGCAGATAGAATCCCCTCTTTCCTGATTTTCCCACCTTCTGTTACTTAGGAAGGTTCTTGACACCACAGTGTGTGAGGACTGACTCCCTTTCCTTTCTACACACTAGAGTAAACGAGTATTCACAAGTTCTGCATGCTCCAGACCAGAGACAACTATAACTAACTTGAAGGAAAAGCATCCTTCTTGGGAAGCCAAGAGCCACTCAGCCAATTAAAAACTTCCCCAACCATTATGCAGTCCAATGGTTTATTACTGTGTTCACAGAGATAGCCAGAGGACTCTACTTAAATAAGATGAATTCTATCCATATCCTCCAATCCTATTTGTTTAATATGCACTTTAATATTATCAACCCAACTGTGCTTCGGTCTTTTAAGCGGATTCTTGCATATGAGTTTTCCAACTAATATTTTATATGCATTTCTCATGTCTCCTATGTATGCTACAGGGTCTGAATCTTGTCCGTACCACAGTCATCCATTATTGTGACAAGATTCATGAGTAAGTATGGGCAAGTCTCACATTTTTTAGATTGAATCAAGAAAAAGAAGCAACAGCACACAAACTCCCTGATCCATTAGAATCATAAAGGTTTGGAAATATCACTCAACTTGTCAACAAAATCTGTCCAGCTTCCTCCTTCTACTCATACAACATGCTTCTCTGTCTCTATATGCAGTGTCGGCATCTCATATCAAAAAGGGTAGGTGGTGTATGAATCAGGAAATTGAAATCAAACACCTAGAAGGCAGACCCTTGTGAACACAGTAATGAACCTTCAGGCTCCATAAAATGTTCAGAAATTTTTGAGTAACTGAGCAATTGGTGGCTTCTAAAGAAGGACTTAACTCCATGCAGTCAGTATTTTTTTTAATTTGCTTAGTGGGGGGTGGAGTCCAACTGGGTCCACTTGGCACGGCAGCCACTGATTGGCCTATGGTAGCCTGCCCCAGGAGATTATGATGATGGAGAATTTGGTGGAATGAATACTGGCAGGGGAAACTGAAGTACTCAGAGAAAACCCGCCACAGTGCCACTTTTCCCACCACAAATCCCACTTGACCAGACGCGGGATCGAACCCCGGCCACCGCGGTGGGAAGCCAGCAACTAACCG